TGTATTATTTCTACAATGTAGATGCACCCTAGACCTCTTGGGAACTGAAATCCAAACCTGTCTGGAAGAACAAAGACTGAGAGTGATTCCATTAGCATTTTCTAACAAAGAATTCTAAGTACCTTCCCAAACTAACTAGGATTCCTTAGAATGGAACCATAGTGGTTAAAATGGCATCAGACTGCTACAAATGTGGATTCAATTAAAGTATATATGTTTAAATCTTCTCTCATATATCTGCAAGCTTTTCTACTGTAGGCTTCCTGCACAGCTTGGAAAAGTTCCTTTTTTGGACTGCAATTTCTAGACCCCCTTCCCCAACCAGTATACCCATAGCCAAGATGCTAGGGGACATTGTGGAGCCCATAGTCCACAGAAATAACTGTGCCAAGCTCTGGTTTCTCTTTGGAATTAAAACCTGGGCCAAGGAAGCTGTGTTGAGGACATGCAGAATGGTAGCTAAGCCAAGATCCTAATATCCATCAAGGGCCCAATGTCTTTTCTCAGGTATGGGCTGCTCCTTCCATTCTGTTCTTCTTTGCAGGTGTGAAGGGCACGTTCCGACTTTCGGTGCCAAAGGATGGGCCGGCTGATAAGGCGGGAGTCCCAGATGGATCGTGGCTTCTGGAGCTCAATGGGGTCAGCGTGGAGAGCTGGACTTCTGCCCAACTGAACAAAAAGGTCCTAGCATTGCAAGTCCCTTGAAGGAACGTTAGCTTTCAGCCTCATCAATAAGGCCAGAAACCCAGAGGAGGTTTTCGCTGGTGTGCATACTGCTGCATGGGCAGTTGCATATTTTTAGGATAGAGTGGGCAACTTGTGGCCCTCCCCATGTGTCTGGATTGCAGTTCCCAGCATCTTTCAGTGGTGGCTAGTGCTGCTGGGAGATGTGCTCTGACAACATCTGGAGGGTTGCCAATGACCTGGCCCAGTCCTAGGAGATTGTGCCAGTAGTGTTACACTACAATTACCTCTGTGAAAGTGGTTGCACTCTTGAAGAGTTTATGAGGTTCCTCCATTTCACTTGATGGATGGGGAGCGGATACACCTTTGTACAGTAGGCAACCGTGAAATGTTAACCCGATTGATTGCACAGCACTGTGGTCCTGTAAAGCACTGATGTTGTGTAGCTCCCAATATTGCCAATGATGATGGATGCTGGGTGATTCTGCTAGCTGCTGCTCCAGAAAAGGAACTTTTCCAGGCTCTGGTTTCATCAGTTTTGGTTTCATAGGTGAGATGTCCAAGAAGATAATCAGAGTACCTGGGGACTGTTGCACTATATTTTGCTATCCTTTGGTGGTTCCAAAACCAAGTCTCCTTCCACAATGAATAATTATAGCCACTTATACCAGCTTAACAATCCTATGGGAAGCTTGGAATTTGTAGTTTGGGAAGGCATGACTAGAGCCTTCTTGCAGAGAATTCTAAATTCGCAGTGAAACTACAGATCTCAGGATTCCTTAGGATGTAGCCACAGCTGTTAAAGTGGTCTCAGAGTACCATAAGTATGTAATGTGAAAGAGACAGAAGATCCATCTGCCTCTTCTTTCCTTTTTGTGTCTGATTTGGATTCCAGCTCAAACACAGCAGCAGCCCAATGGGACTTTTGGTGATCGATGATGAATCGGAGGAGTTCTATCGCCAACGGGGCATTAAAGTCACCACTGCCATGGCTGATGCTTCCCTGGTTCCATTTGAAGTGAGGAAATTGGAGATGGTGAGAGGTCCGGATGGCTACGGATTCTTGCTGAAAGAGGAAAAATGTTGCTCTGGGAAGAGGGGTAAGTCATCATGGGCCTCCTCTGTGCCTTTGGGGGGAAACCTGTAGAAGAGCCAAAGTATGCATCATGTACACCATCATCACCACTAGGAACCCATCAAAATCAAACAGGTTATGAATCAGGGTGGAAATCTGCAAACAAAAGAGGGCCAATGAATCATTTTGATTTACATGCTTACTAAAGAGAGGGGCATTCAGTTGTACTGTCAGTATTAACTTTTCTCTAGAACTGTATTGTTCTTGGTTCATGGTTTTCTTGGCAAGTTTCTTCAGAGCGGGGTTTGCTATTGCTTTTCTCTGAGAGTATGGGACTTGCGTAAGCCCACTCAGTGGTTTTCCATGGCCAAGCAGGGATTTGAACGCTGGTGTCCAGTCATAGTCCAATGCCCAAACCACTACATTATGAATTATGGCTAATATTCTGCATCACAGACTACTTTGTGTAACTTTACGGATCCTTAGCTGTGTTGCAGAGATGCAACAAAACCCTATTAGTGAATTGCAAAGATGCATACCAGGGCACCAGCAAGAGTGTTCCAGTGCACATCAGGCATCTCTGCTATGTATCATGCTCTCACATGCTCATCAGATGCTGCTATTGTGCTCCAAAATTTCCTAGCCAGTGTCCAGATGTGTATCAGGGAGCACCCTAATGCACATTGATGCCCATTGGACAATGGTCCATCAATCACTCCACTACTGTGCAATGGATGCCCCTATGTAGTAATGTCACAGCAGCCTCGTCTAGGTGATGACAGACAATGTGAAACTGTCCCTTTATATTTCCCACACATGTAAGTCCACTTCTAGGCAAGTCTCATACTGAAGTCCAACCAAATGACATTAAGGTACACAATAACAGCACAGTCATGTTCCAGAACTGGCACCGAGATGGTCCATCTCTTCCTTCTTTCACCGCCAGAAAAAGACCCAGCCAAAACAGCCAGTGGTGAGGGATGATAGGAACTATAGTTATAGTAGCATCCAAAGGATCAAAGGTTCCCTTCCCTATAGTTATAGTAGCATTCAAAGGATCATCCAAAGGATCATCCAAAGGATCAAAGGTTCCCTTCCCTATAGTTATAGTAGCATCCAAAGGATCATCCAAAGGATCATCCAAAGGATCAAAGGTTCCCTTCCTGGGCTGTTCCCTCCTCCTTCAGTGACACTATTTGAACCTTGGTTCCCCCACAGAGTAATAATGGGGTGATGCGTTATGGGTTTATTATTTTAATTGTTATGATTTTTTCACTCAATTGTTATTAGGATTTTAATTATGTCATTGTTTAATACTGTTTTAAGGGGGGGGGAGGGATATGCTTTTACTGTAATTGTTTTATGTTGTAAACCGCCCGGATTGGGCAACCATTGGGTGGTATATAAATAAATTTTATTATTATTATTATTATTATTATTATTATTATTATTATTATTATTACTCACTTAGGCTAGGAGGCCTCTGGTGACCAACATAAAAAAGCAACCATGAACACAGAGCATTCTGAAGTCCTCTTGAATAACTCTTGTGAAAACGCTGCCTTCTCTGTTTTTCCCTTCCCATGGTTTGCAGGGCAGTTTTTGAGAGAGGTAGATGCTGGGATGCCGGCTGAAAAGGCAGGGATGAGAGACGGTGACCGCCTCCTGGCAGTCAATGGGGAGAGCGCTGAAGATCTTGACCACCAAGAGGTGGTGCTGCGGATCCGTGCCGACAGCAGTCGGGTGACACTGTTGGCCATTGATGCAGAAGGGAGCAAGTTCTATGATTCGGTATGCACCAGCTTGAGAATTGGCGAACATCAAGAGGTGGGTGGGATCCTACATGAAAGGATCACCTTTTCCACCATACCGGCTTCTGACCCAAAAGCTGGAAAGAGATGTTCACATCTGAGAACAAGACAGATACCACTGAGGTGGGATTGTCACATATTCCTTTATTACGGACCAGAGTTTTGGAAAGTTGCATTTTGGTGTAATGCTTAGAATACCCCTGACATTGCTGCCAAAGACCTAAATCCTATGGGTAGTGCCAACAAGACTAGATCCATTAAATCAATGGGATTCACCTACGTGTCAACAATTGATTTAATGGGTCTACATTACTTGGTGCAACCAAAAGGATTCAGGCCAAAGAAATTAACTTGTCAACACTCTGTTGCCAACAAACTAGCTTAATAGTCTACTTTTTCTCCAGGAAGGATATTACAGATTGGGGTGGTGAGATGTGGAGAGAAATCAGAGAATTCACATTGCTTTTTCTAAACTATAATTCCCAAGATCCTTTATCATGATTGGGAAAAGCCACATTTGATAACTGGAATGGAACTGATGCAAATTCAGTGTAGATAAGAATGCTTTGGGTAGTCTCTGCTTGGTTGGACAACCGGTTTAGTTGGTTCTCTTCCACGATACTACAGATGGATACCAAACAGCCTTAATTTTGATATAGTGAGGGAACTCAGTTAGATTCACTAACCATGTAGCAAGCTGGTTGGTTGGAATCTCTTTTTGCTCTCCCAGGTTGGAGTATCACCTCTTCTTTTCTATGATGAAAAGGACCCTGCCGCAGGTTGGACCCTGGCTCATGCCTCCTCTCCTCCCAGCCTGCTTCAAGAAAAGAAGTGCCCACCCTCGACAGCCTGCCTCCGCCACTTCAGCACAGGCTCCCATGGAAATGAACTGCCACCACACCAGCCTGGTGAAAGTTCAAAAGAGGTAATCTGTGTCTACCACTGGGGTAGCTACAGAAACAGTACATTTTCCAACTCTTCTGCAGGGACAGTTCCAATTATCCCTCTGTCTTCCCACTTCTTCATCTACTTTAAAAATGTCCCAGTTTCTTTCTTCTCCTCTTTTGTCTTCAGCTTACTTCAATTGATGCAAACTGAATTCAATCAACTCAGTGAGGGCTGGGGAGAGGAGAGGCAGAGTTGTGCCTCCCCACTAGGCTCAGGCAACAGCAAACTGCTGCATTGCTAAAATACACAAAACCTAAGCAGGGCCATTTGAGCAACATTGAAGATGATGCTTGGCTTGTTTAAGGAAATGGGTCAATCTGGAATTTGGAATCCCATTGGTGCACTGTCCTAGTGGTTGCCATTTTTCTAAGATCATGCAGTGGTAAGGAGGAAAGGCCAGCAAAGTCTCCCATTTTGCCAGTGCTTTCCTTCCTTCGTGGCTGTTGGACCCTTGGCTTTCCACCACTGGTACATATGTCTATGTTGTCATGCTGGCATCAACACAATTCTTGCCTCAGTGCCCATGGTATGTTGTGTGCCAGCATTGAAAGGAAATGCAGAAAACTCAAGAGAAAGGGAGTGGTGGAATATCCTTCCTGAGCTCCTTTATAGCCTTTTCAAACTTGGAGGTGGGCATAGCTGGAAGACTACCCTCTACCCTGGCTCTCATGAGAGCGTCTATATAATAACCCTACAAAGAACGCTAGCTACCCAGACTTTCCGCAAGCCCACCATACACTCCTGAAAATCATTTGGGGGCACATTGCTCTTCCAATGTGCTTCTGCGTCTGATCACCTGGATGGGTATGCATTACTTGCCATAGATGAGTGGCTATTTTCAAGCCTACCTTCAATGTTACCTTCACACTGTCTAAACCACAAAAGACCCTCACAAACCTCCCACGCACCTCATTTCTGGTTTATGCATTTGTGATTGAGATTACCATTCTGCATCTGTTTGTGTTATGTTCAAACTGTAGCCATGACTGGAGCAAATTTCTCTCTTTTTAAATCCTCACACAGGGCCAAGATGGACTGAGCCAGGCATTCTAGAAGCTGCCCAGTCCTGGCTGCCAAAATGCAATTCTCAGTTCCAGCTGTGCATTAGTGGCTGCAGGGAATGCTGTTGCACAGATGCTCATGTCGCAATTGTCGCCACAATCTGATTTCTTTTTCCTTGTCTGCCTGTCACACTGCTGCCTCATGGATCACCTCTGCCCTCTGAAAACATTCCTTGCCCAGGAAATTGCAGGTGATCATGGTTGAAATCTATAGGACTTCTCTGAAGCCAAAAGGAGATGATCCTTTTCACTTTGGGGTATGATTCCGACATTCAAAAGGCTTGTCTTGCGACTCAACAGCAACCTTCTTGCTTCCTGTTAGCTTTGCCATCGAGGTGAAGAAGAACTAAAATAAGTTAAATTTATTTCTATTTTGAAATATTACCGTGACTAAGAAAAGAGGCATAGCACGGCTGTATGGTTTGAAACTTCCACCTCAATCCAATGTGCCTAAGGGAGTGTATTTAATTCAAATTAATAATAATAGCAGCACTAACATAAATAGTTATGTCTATATCTTGCCTTTCCTTCAATGAACTCAAGGTGCCATGTGTAGACCTGTCTCTCTTTATCCCCACGACAGCCCTGTGAGGCAGTTCATTGGTAGTTTATGGTTCACTGGTACCAGAACTTGGATCTCTCAAGTCCTGACCCAGTAGTTTCTTCAGGACACTGACAGATCAGGATGGCAATGGTCAGGAAAATAACTGAAATGCACTCTGCACACCCTTGAAGGCTCCAAAAATATTATTATTACTCCTCCAGAGGTTTTAGGTCCAAACCCCAGTCTCAGCTTGAGGCACAATACAAAGCTGTGATGAGAATGAGAAGCATGGCAGGAGCAACCGTTCACATCTCCAAAGGCCTGAGTCCAAATTCCTTCAGCCGGTCCTTGTATTCCAGGTGGATGCCTGTAGCCTCCTTCTCCCAGCTGAGCTTGGTGGTCTGCATCTTGGACAGCACATGGTCCAAGCTAGCCTGAGGACAGAAGAAGCAACAGACAGTGGGAAAGGTCTCTGCATGTATGCATACATCACCACCAAAAGGTTGGGAACAACCTCTAGCAAAACATTTCTGAGAGAGGCACAACCATATGTCCAGCAGAGAAACTCCGTGAGCTGACTATGCTTGAGAAAAGAGGAGAACCTCTGGATCTACAGGTTTCATACCTTGACTATGGCATTAGCTGAGAGAACAAGACCACTCTTGCCTCTAGCATCATTCTCTGAGTTTCATGCTTGTTGTTTTGTGCTTTCAAGTTCTTTCTGACTTTTGGGGACCTAACGTGAACCTATCACAAGGTCTCCTTGGCAAGATTTATCTTTGCCTTCCTCTGAGGCAGAGAGCGTGTGACTTGCCCAAGGTCATCCTTTGGGTTTCCATGGCCGAGCGGGGATTCGAACCCTGCTCTCGAGAGTTGCAGTCCAATGCTCAAACCATTATGCCACACTTCCTCGAATTTCATGCTTAGATCCTGGGAATTGTACAAACGCCCTTGGATGGTGTATTATTACTCCCATTCCATCAAACTACAGCACTCCGGAAGGTGGAAGCCAAAACTGCCGAGGCTTTAGTAATATAAATGTCTCTTTCCAATCAGTTGATTGAATCTATTCTGCTCAGTGGCCTTATTCAACTTATGTACCTTCCAGCTTGACACCGTAAGGTCAAAGGAGAGCTAAAATGGAAAGATCTGCCAGTTCTGAGTGTGAGAATGCTAAGAGAAATGAACAACGTCTTCAGAACAGTTGCCCAAAAAATAAAGTAAAATAATAACCGACGGGAAACACCGTCTTAAGAAGGTCTGTTTCTCAGATCTTGGGATAAATAACATTCAGAATGATGGAAGTAAGACTTTGAGCTCAACTTCACAGCACTTCTTTGGGCACAAGGATTCAAAAGAAAACTGATTGCAAAGAGGAAAACATTGGGGCGGAGAGACAGTCTCCATGTTTGAGAGCAGACCTTGAGTATTTAAGTACATCCTAGAGCTAGACAATGGTGGGAACAAACTACTTTATGGCTTCTTCCTGCGTTTTTTGACAATGACACATCCACTGACCCTAAGACAGCCACCCAACTCACATGGAGGATTTTTTCATATTCGGTCTCCATCTCGTCGATCTTGCGCTGCATCTCAGCAATGGCCTTGTCCTTTTCTTCCAGCATCCTGGCTTTGTCCTGCTGACTTTCCCGCATCTCTTCCTGACAGGCAGCTGCCAAATAGAAAATGTAAGAAGGAGAGAAAGCACGGAGGAAGAGAAAGTCAAGGCAGCGTGGGAACGAAAGCTGAGCAGAGGATCGGGAAAAGGTAGCAGGTCAAGACATTGCAGAAGGAAACTAGGCTAGGAAAGATGCATTGAGGATGGAAATATATAAAGTCCTGGGCTGGGGAGCGAGCAGAAAATTTTGAGCCATTTTTAATCCTCCAAGGGCAATTTTTCCAATTTTTTTAAATGAGAAAATACAGAATTTTGTAGAAAGCAGGGAAGGAACCCTCAGATAAAATACTTGGAATGAAACATCTGGTTCTTGGGACCAGGGGTGCATCTACACTGTAGAAATAATGCTGTCTGATACCACTTTATGTGATATACCTGCATCCTATGGAATCCTGGGATTTGTAGTTTCACAAGGTATTTAGCTTTCTCCGCCAGGGAGTGCCGATGCCCCACAAAACTGCAAATCCCATGAATCTGTAGGATGGAGCCATGGCAGTCAAAGTGGTGTCGCACTGCATTATTTCTACAGTGTAGATGCACCCTATAGTTTTACTTGCTCAAAATGCCAGGAATCATGTGCGTGAAATGAAGCTTTGTATAGAAGAAGGTCAATAAGGCAACAAAGTTCCTGTGCATGCTGTAGATATCAATGAAATTGCGGTTCCCATCTTTGTGAGAGGAACACAAGGTGTATGTGGATGTGTGTCTGCTGTGTGATGATAACACACTGTTGAAGAGTTTGGTATTTGTAACACAAAATTAAGTTTTATATTCAAAGATGCTGCTAGCTTCATCCTTAAGATTGTGACTGCATGATGCTGTTTCTCTCTAAATAATACAGGTCCCTTTTTTATTACAAAATGTGTGGTTTCTGCTTTTATTTTCTACCCTACCTCTAAAAAAAACCCCCATTTAGGATAGGGTTCAGTCATTTCTATCTCTTTCTTTAGTGCCTGGTATATTTTGCTTGCACAAAACTATGGCGTTTTGGTTTTTAAGCTTCATAAATATGCCAAACAGTCCATTTTTATATGTTAACAAGGTGATGAATGGAAATGTTTTATACTGTTAAAGTGGCAACCTAAGTTTAGGTTTGTTTAGAAAATAAGTCTTGCATATATTTGGGTTTTTATTCCCTAAAATTTCCATTTTGACTCGCTCCCCTGGAAGAAAAAAAAATATGGTAATTTTTGCCACTTCAGCATTTCTATAAATTTTGTATCTCTAGCTGGGAAGGAGGCAAGATTTTTAATACCTACTTTCCTTGTTGTTTTACTGCCTTCAAATTCAGCAAAGTTTCAACCTGTGCTCAATTTTAGCTTCCACAAGGGGGAGTGTGTATTCTGGTGGGATTATTCCCAATTTTATTGTTAACTAGCATTCATAGGATCACCGTAAATTGATGTCAATGGCATTTTGCAAAAAATAATCAAGGGACAGAAAACCCTGAAGGCACCAGATCCTTTTGATTTTGCAAGCTAAGCATCGTTGGTCCCGGTTAGTACTTGGATGGGAATCCACCAACAAATACCAGGTGCTGTAGGCTATTTTTCCAACAAAGGAACTGCCAAAACCACCTCTGAGGATCCCTTACTTAAGAGTATCCCTTGTCCTCTGTATTGAGTGTATGCACCTTCAAGTCGCCATAGCCTTGAGCTGAACACATACATTCAGCGATGAACAAAAACATTCAGCCGTTTCTACAGGTGAACCTATGCATGTGTAAGACACCAACAGGTTTCACTATCTTAGATAGTGCATTGAACAAAACCAGTTTGCTATCTCAGGTCTGGAGAACAAATATTAATTCCCTCCTGTTTACACACACACACACCTCAGGGTCTTACTATCTCATTTTCTGACGATTACGTACAGGAACTGAAATTTTGCAAACAGAAGTTCCAAGTTCTGCAACCAGAAAATACATATTCTGCAAGTGGAATATGTTTTTAAAATTCATTTTGTTGTTATTGACAGTTTATTGGAGACTTGCATATTGATAAAAAAAAAATACTTACTGGATTAAATTACTGGGCTAAATTATGTATCTGAAGATTCCATATCCCTCCACTAAAAATAAAAATAAAAAGCTGTGCAAAGGAAGGGCTCAGTTATTAACTTATTTCCTCATAGAAGGAAGATCAGTGATGGGACATTATCGCACGGGGAATGGGACGTCATTGCTTATCGTGCGATTGCGGGAAGGACTTTCACACAAAATCGCACTTATCGGGCTATTTTCCCATTCAGAAAGTGCAATTGAACATGACTGTGCAAAAGGCTTTGTCACTAAATCACACTGATCCTGTGAATGTCCTGTGAATGAAGTGGAATTGTCTCCTCTTATCCCCTAATTTTGCATTATCGGAAGATCCCGGTAGTACAGCTCCACTTCATTGATGGGACATTCGTGGGATCAGTGAAATGTAGTGAGAAAGCCTTTTGAATGATCATGTTCAATTGCACTTTCTGGACGGGATAAAAATGCCTGTCCCCGTGTGATAAAGTCCAGGGATAAACATTGCTACCCTACGTCAATGCGACTGTCTCCAAAGCAGAGCACATGCATGCATTACCAAGTTTTTCCTGCAAGTTCTTCCTCTCGTCTTCCAGCCATTGTATCCGAGTATCAGCCTGGCGCTGAAGCTGCTGATACCTGCGGACCATCTCTGGAAACACAAAGCGGAACATGGAATAAGGAGACTGAGAAGAGAAAGAGACATCCTTAGCCACCATCCCTACTCTGGACCAAGAGCTATTTGTACAAAAACAACTCTCTGTAGTGCTTGGCAATCTAAGAGAAGCTGAAGAGATCGGTCCCTGCCCTGAGGAAATTACAATAAATCTTGTACCATTGGGGACAGAAATAATGAGGGATTGGAAAAAGAGGGGACAAACATGGATCAGAATATGTGGAATAACAGATCACACTGTCAGCTGTGGTGGAAACCTAGGTCATGGCCTAATTTTTAGTAAGACAGCATTCTTGACTATATTGGTTACTGGGGAAAAAAAGTCTTGCAACATGTTAAGGACCAGTTATTGCATCACGAATATCTTACAGAATACTTTCTGTGTACCTATATATCTGTATATGAGATCTCACGTTGCTTCATCATGGCATTAATATTTGCTGGCAAGGCAATGGGCAGAGGCGATCGGCATTCACACAGCACTCTGGGTGCTTTAAGGGACAACCTTCGTATGCAACAGTCCCACATGCACAACTATGCCAATGCTGCACTTCACTAAATGGTACGGACTGGCTTTGCAGCTATGGAGCATGGAAAAGTTGCTTTTTTTTTTTTTTTTGGATATATGTATCAGCCAGGGTTGTTGATGCTGTGGTCCCAAAAAATAAGTTTTCCACGCTTGGGGCAGGTAGCCAGTGACAGAACATGGGTTTTGTGATTTTTTTAAGGGGAAAAAAGACACCAATGTACCTTCATAAATATCCTTTTTATCACCTCGTGCTTCCTCCAGTTCTTTCTCCAGATCTGCCAGCTTCTGCTTCAGTCCTTCGCTATCAGCCATTGCCTGCCTGGCCATATCCCGCCGGAGAACTGCAAACCAGAAGGAAACACACAGCAGTTTTTGACATGTGCCTTCACAGTGTCTCTGACTTCAGGAGACTCTTAAATTGGGATTTTCTTGGCAAGATTTATTCAAAGGAGGATTGCTATGGCCTTCCTCTGAGGCTGAAAGAGTGGGAATTGCCTAAGGTCAGCTAATGGGTTTCTATGGCTGAGCAGAGATTTGAACCCTGGTCCCTAGTCTTCATCCAGCACTCAGACCACTATACCACTCTTATTCCATATATACAGCGTATATTCAGTTAGAGCATTATTCTATTTTTCTTGCCATCTCCCTCAGTTCCTTGATCTAAATGAGGTTTTCTGCATCTCTGATGCAGATTAGCTAAAGGGTATGTCTTCTATTGGAGCATCTTGAGTTCATGCAAATGCATACAAACTTTCAGATTTACACAGAATTCTTTGCCTGATGGAAGGAGGGGGGAAAAGTGGAAATAATATTCACCTACAAGGAATATCAAGCCTACATGATTATGTGAAGCGTCTTTATATTCAAGACAATGCTTTCAATTGTACTCTGCGGCATTTGCCATTTTCACGTTTTCATGAAAATGCTCAGATAGATTGATGGAGAAGAGGAAAGAGATAGTGGGGAAATGGAAAAATGTCTTCTCTTGAAAGTCTTTTGCAAAACAAAAACAAAAAAGTTCTTTGCACTCAGAGGGCATAGGTTTTTGTGCAGTCTTCTTACTCTATGCTTACAATAATGTCAGCTTTCCTCCACTTTGCAAAATCTATGCGCGGTACTGAAAATGTTTCCTCACCAAGGTACTGTTTAAGAGTGTCCACTTCCAGCTCTGTCTTCTTATATTTTTCCTCATCTGCAAGGAAATGAAAACATACACTAAATGTTAAGTCAGCGAGAAAGAGGAAAGGCCTTGGGGAGTTACTAGCTGCTACCGATTCACCCTTTCAACAAATACACAATTCAGAGGCGGGATGGATTTCCAGGGGAAATTACCCCAGTCAAGGGACCAGTTATAAACCAGGGCTGGCATTTTGACTGAGATTTAAATCTTCGTGAATGGCCTTTACAGGGGCACCAAACTGAATTGAGTACTTTTGCAGCATCATTTGTGAGCTGCTGTGAAATTACAAATATAAGGGTGTCTGTTACGCAATGGTAACCAGTGGAGTGACTGATGCACTGGGCACCAGTATGCAACACAACAAAGTGCTGGGCACAATGGGAATGCCCACAGCGCATGAGACGTGCCTTATGCAGGTGTAGTGTAGATGGTTAAGCGTTGGACTATGACTCTGGAGACCAGGGTTCAAATCCCTGCTCTGCCATGGAAACCCACTGGATGATCTTGAAAAGTCACAGTCTCTCAGAGGAAGGCAAAGGGAAACCTCCTCTGAAGAAATCTTGCCAAGAAAACCCTGTGATAGGATGTGCTTTAGGAATGCCATAAGTCAAAAACAACTCGAAGGCACACCCGAACAAGGTTTTGTTGTATTTCTGCAATGTAGGTACAGATTTGTAAAATTACAAAATGTAGACTGTGAAGTAGGATCTTGGTCAAGACTTACAACTGAGACGTAAAAAACCTTAGGACTCTGCAAATATGAGGTTGTTGGAATCACCTCCATCGTTGTGTCTTACCCGGCACAGGTTTCTTCTTTGCCTTCCCTGCTTTCTTCCCTTTCCCTTTCTTGGTGGGAGCCATTTTTCGACGTTTCTTTATTGTCTGCAAATGGGAAAGGAAAAGAGGAAAAAATGGCACTTTGGACTAATCAAAGCATTAGAATATTTGGGGCTCGCTTGCTTTCCAAGAAGATCAAACCCACTGCAACTAGGATTGCCTGAGTAAAAACTGGAAACAGTTCCCACCGTTTTAAGAAAAGGAAATTTCAGCAACTGGTGCTGGGTTGCATGAAATTTTCCCTCTTTTGCACAATCATTAAAGGTACAGAAGCCCCATCCAGTTTTCAGTCTATTTGCAATGCCTGTATCCAACAGGGAGTAGTGGTTTGGGCGTTGGACTATGACTCTGGAGATCAGGGTGCGAATTCCGCTTGGCCATGGAAACCCATGGGCAAGTCATACACTCCCAGTCTCAAAGGATGGCAATGGCAAACTCCCTTTGAAGAAATTTGCCAATAAAACCGCATGATATTCTAAGTCAGAAATGACGTGAAGGCACACAATGACAACAAAAATTCATTACTGGTATTAATTAAATGGGTACTCATTAAACTTTGCAAACTCTTAAGGGAGCAGAGGGAGGTGTTGTTGTTATGCACATTGCAATGGGGCGAGAAGAAGTTGTGAGAAACAGTACCTGAAAGCAGAGCCTTTGCAGGTTGCTGCAAGTCACCCAGGACGTTCTTGTGCAGGTGTGTCATTCAAAGCAGCCAATTTGCAAGGAAGTGGGGCAAGAGACGCCTGGATTTCGGGATGCCTATCCCAGCCGGAGCAAACCAGGTTGCTAGGCAATAGGCCCACATTAGCTGCCACAGCAACCAAGCCAAACAAAGCAGCAACCCAGGCCTGGGAAAGGAGGCCCATGAGGCTGGACCCAGGAGAGGAAAGAGATCGGCAGGCTAATAATGCAATTTTTTTTCCTCCCAATTAAGTGGAATTACAATGGAAACAGCATTCTGTTTCTCAGATGCTCCTAGAATGAATCCAACATCTCCATGCAATGTACAGCTTTGAAAGCTTGCAACATGTATATTGTGCCTTTTGACTGGTCCAATAAAGGTATCACTGTTTTGTGGATTTTGGATGATACTGTATTTTGCTATATGGCCAACCTGGCTACCCCTGGATATGTTATCTCCACGCAATGTTTGCCTTAAATGTTCTTCGCGTACCTTCATCCATAAATGTCATAAGCATCCAGAGCTGGGAAAAGTTACCTTCTGAAAGTAATTTGTTACTTATTACAAGTAACAAGTATTACAAGTATTACAAGTGACCTGATGTTTGGAAGTGTCTTTTCTGAACAAAACTCCTGTTTTGAATGCAAACTGGGCAGAGGTGTGAACAAACACAGACAACTGTCACCATCGTGGTTAATGTGACTTTGTGGTTCTAGGGAAAAGTTTGTCCTCCAATTCTGAAAAAAAGAATCAACGTGACTTCAGTAAAGTTAAGCCCTGTCTCACAAACACTTTTTACAGTGTCCGTAAAAACATGTATAGGAATGAACCATTGTTTACTTGGACTTCCAGAAGGCTTTTGACCAAGTTCCTCACCAGAGACTGCTGAGCAAGCTGAGCAGTCATGTGAAATACAGAAGAGTTCCTTTTATGGATTGAAAAGCGGTTAGAGACAAAGGAGGAACACATCTTCAGTTTTTGCAAAAGAGTGGGATCTGCGGCTTGACACTTGCTAACTAATACCTTGTCTGATAGAGTCTGGAAAAGTTATATTAGGACCACAGCTGTTGGGACCTCTTGGTTAGCATGGCCTTTGCAGGCAGGGGAACCTGAGAGTTGTAGTCCAAAAGGTTACCTTTTCAAGCTCTGTACTATCAGAGCTTTTCCAACTCATAGGGTTTTTTTGTGGGTTTTTCAGGCTATGTGGCCATGTTTTGTTATTTGCAGGTTTTCCATTTTCACGGGGACCCTGTGACCTTAACCCCAACGAATGTGCCCTTAACCTTAGCCCACTGTATATTACAATGGACTCTCCACATTTGCTTGGGTTAGGGGCACAGGACCCCCGTGAAAGTGGAAAAAAACACAAAATAAAATGCCTCTCTAGGAATCTCCAGGTCCTCCAGAGCAATCCTGTGGTCAAGATCTGTCAGAAGATGACCATAGGATTGCACTGGAGGACCTACAGATGCATAGAGAAGTGTTTTCTCTAGTAATCTCTAGGTCAGCAATTCCCAAGCTTTGGTCCTCCAGCTATTTTGAACTTCAGCTCCCAGAAGCCCTAGCCAGCTTGGCCAGTAGTCAGGAATTCTGGGAAATGGAGTCCAAAACATCTGGAGGGCCAAAGTTCTCCAGCATGACAAATGGCAAACGTTGGCAATAGAGTGACGCTGGAGGCTCAAATTTCCTAGAGAGGACATATTAATCAAATCTGCGAATAATCAAATCCGCAAATGTCAAATGTGGAGGGCCGGCCGCATTTCAGTATTTTAGCATTTTATAATGTTGTGTTTAATCATTCGTTTCAATTGCATATGTTCCGGCGTACCGCTCTTTGGTGAAAAATGGTGTTATAAATAAATGTTATTTTTATTTTTGCAGCTGTTCTTCTCTCACCCTAAACTCCTAAGCACCTGAGAAGGCCATGTATGCGTGTACGCAGACGCAAGCAAAGTTCAGTGATGGTGGGTGAGGAAAAAGCCAACACAGGCCAAAAATTGTGCAAAGCACAGTGCCTTGATGTGGATCCAGGAGAAGAGGGAAGTGTACTTCTGTTCCTCCTTGATGTTGTGGCAGAGGTTTTTGTGGTGGAGGACTTTCCGAAGACAAGGGAGAGTCCCATTGGGAAAGAGCATCCCTTCCTAGGGTCCATGCACTAGTACTTTTCCATTGGTGTTACAATGCTCCCTGAGTTTGCGAAGTTGCAATACCCAGCAGCCTTGTTTGCATTGCTGAGCTGCCAGGTGAAATAAAGGACAGAGTTGGCTGGGTTGTTGTTGTGTGCCTCCAAGTCATTTCCAGCTTATGGCAACCCTAAGGCGAACCTATCATGGGGGTTTCTAGGCAAGATTTGTTCGGAGGGAAGTTTTGCCCTTGCCTTCCCCTGAGGCTGAGAGCATGTGACTTGCTGAAGGTCACCCAGTGGGTTTTATGGCAGAGCTGGAAATCTATATCTATATCTGCACATTATATAGTTATTGATGTATACCTTCAAGTTGTTTCCAACTTATGGCAAACCTATTGCAGGGTTTTTGTGGCAAGATCTCTTCAGAGGAGGTTTGCCATCACCTTCCCCTGAGGTTGAGAGAGTGTGACTTGCCCAAGGTCACCCAGTGCCTTTCCAGGGCCAAGCTGGAAATCTATATCTATATCTATATCTGCACATTATATAGTTATTGTTGTGTACCTTCAAGTTGTTTCCAACTTATGGCAAATCTACAGCGGGGTTTTCTTGGCAAGATCTGTTCAAAGGACGTTTGCCATTGCCTTCCCCTGAGGCTGAGAGAGTGTGACTTGCCTAAGGCCACTCAGTGGGTTTCATGGTAGAGCGGGGAATACGGATCTATATCTTTATCACACGGGAGGCAAGCGTCCTCCTCCCATCATTAAATTGCCATTAAATCCCATCAATATTGCGCAATAACAGGATGATTTCACATGACATCGCCATTATTGCGCCATTATCCCGGGAATAAAGTGGCAAAATCGTGAAACTTTTTATTCACAGGACCATCGCAATTTTGCCGCTTTATTCACAGGATAATGGCGCAATAATGGCGCTGTCGTGCGCAAATCATCCCGTTCTTGCGCGATATTGATGGGATTTAATGGCGGTAGGAGGACACTTGCCTCCTATATGATAAAAGTATTGTGGTTCTTCAGATGTTTTTGGACTTCATTTCCCAGAAGCCTGAGCTACCTTGGCCAATGGTGATATATATACATACATACATACATACATATACACAGACATAGAAATTTTGCATTGTTATAGGTTTTGCCTTGAATCTTCCGTTTGGGAGGAACGTGGGATATAAACCCCATCAATAAAGTAAAATCTTCCTTTGCTCCATTCCGAAGGATGCTTTGCAGACTTCTGGAATCCTGCCCAAACCCAACATGGCCGCTATGAGCGCTCTTTGCCGAACTGCGCATGCTCCAACCTTTGCCTCCCAAGGAGCACGCGCAGTCGCTGACAACACACTAAAGGCCTTTTAAAAAACCAGAACCGGCCCTCTTTGGAGGCGGAGCTATGTTAATGAACCTTGGATGGGCGGGCTTCTCTTTTCCGTCGCGAAGAAAGACAGCTTTGCTCTCTTTCGTCAGTCAGAGCAGCATCATGCTATACGGAGAACAAAAGAGCGCTAAAAAAACAATCCTAACGACGTTTAAAACCGCCCTTGGCGTCTTTCCTCCCTCAACACATTGCCCTGCCCTTTAATCCTCCTCCCCCGGCTTCTGACCAATCATAGTGCGGCGTTTCTGAAAAAAAAGGAGGAGGGCGGAGCTTTTGAAATCACGGACCAATCAGAGCCCGATTTTTCCCCCTCAGCGGAAGAAAGGGGCGGAGGCTGTTGAAAAGCGGACGGCCAATCAGAACGCGCCTTCCCTCAGCGATGCGCGTGGACTCCCCCTCCCCCTTTTTTCTTCTTTAAACCGCCCTTTTGCTCCCGCCTCCTCTGGGC